CTTCCCCTGAGGAAAGACTGCCTGGATCTAGAGAGAAAGTAGTGGCCAGGATGGAGAAAGGGATGGGATCTAGTTGGGCCTGAGTTTGGCACATCAGGTTGGATGGCTGGGTCTCTCGACGGGGCTTGGAGGAGAAGGTGAAGAGGGCTTGACCTGGAAAGTGGAAGAGTTTATAGGGCTGAGTGTTGGATCTCAGCATCTCCAGAATCAGAATTTGTGGGCACAGAAAGAGGGCTCTATAGGTAGGTTCCACTGGGCGAATGGGCATGGGGGTTAACAAGGACCAGGGCAGTGCCTAGGTTTGGAAGTTGGTAGGCTGAAGGAAATAGATGTGCCTAGGATCTGTGAGCTGGGGCCTTCCTGGATGGTCCCAAGAGACTTTCAGAGAAGTAGAACCTCACCAAGTTGGCAGGCTAGTTTGCTTCTGGGTGCTTTGGGTCTGCCAGAGTAAAGTGGATCTTGAGTTTGACGAGCATGGCCTGGGTGGGGAGAGACAGTACCAGTTCTGCAGGAGCACACTGGTTAGCTCTGGAGGCGGGCTGGGATCGCGCGTGGGTAGCTGGGCCAGACTCCCCCCAGCTAATAGGACTGCCATCTATCTGTAGGGGATCTGGATGGGCCCCGGAGTCGGAGCAGACCCAGTGTAAAGTGCAGCAGTTGCTGCGCATGGGGTGATGGGGGGGTGGGTCTGAGTCCATTGCCTCGCCCACGGTCAAGGCCACCACGTCTACGCAGCACACGCCACAGCAGAGAGCGGGGGTGTAGCAGCAGGCACTGCCCGTTTAGATACAATGGCTTTGCAGGAACACAGAGACGTGTGAAGCCTGTGGCTGATTATATTCCTGCCTGCAGGGATCACCCGATGGGTGCAAGTCAGAGCCAGTTAGGTCCTGTGACCCCAGTGCCGTGATCCTGCACCCAAATCTCCCAGGACCCCGGGGCCCTGAGCCCCATTCCCTGGGTGCCCAAGCGCCCATCTTCAGAGACTCACCCCTCCAGCTAGGGGCCTGCAGTTTTCATTCTCTTGTGCCCTGCCCACTGGTAGAACAGGGCTCGGATGGGCGGCCTCTCTAGCAGACTAGGGCCAATGTTTCAGGCGGAGATGCTCACCTTCGAGGCGGATGATCTCCCCATGGCCACAGCACACGCCCACACGGGCCCCGCACCAGTGTCCAGCAGCAGACAACAGCCTGCACAGGAAGAGGTCTTGCGGCTCAGGCTCGCTGCCCTCTAACTCCACGGCCTCCCAGTGCTACCCCAGGAAAGCCTCAGAGAGGAAGGACTGGATGGTAGTGACCGCCCCAGTCAGGGCCTGAGAGGAAACGGGGACCAGACCTGTTTGCGCAGGGGGGGGGGGGTGCCAGTTCCTTCTGCCGGTCATCAGTGGAGACCTGTCTTCTCCAGACATCCCACCTGGGGGAAAACAAGACACGCTGAGGACTTATGCTCCAGGGGCTAGGCTTCACTAACCCACACCTGCCTCCATGTGCTGAAGAACTCCAGAGGCCTGGACATCGCCGATGGACAAATCCTGCCCTGAGCCACCACTGAGAACTCAGTTCCCAGTGACTGGGACCTACTCCTCATCCAATGTTTTCTTCTCCTCTTAAATTCCAGCCTTTCCATTCCGCCCCTTTCCTCAAACATCTCCCACCTTGCCATTCCCTGGAGGCAACACCAAGAACTGCATGTACTTGAGTTGAGCAGAAGCCCTGAAGAAACAGAAACCTGGGTGACATCTGGACCCAAGAGAGGCCTCTCCTCCCAAGCCTGAGTGGACCGAGTCCCCTCCAATAACAAATATCTATGGAGCAACTGTTCATTTGATGCTTACTACAATTCTACAAGATGGGTACAGGATCCCTGTTTTCAGGATAAGGAAACTGAGGTCCACGGAGGTTCCACATCGCTGGAGTGCACACAGCTTAATGTAGGTGTGCATGACTGTATGTGTCTGATCACCTTTACCTTCCTTTCTAGAAGGAAGTAAGAAACCCATTTAGTTCAGATTTGTCCTATCTACTGGGAAGAGAGTGCCCTGGGGACTTGGAAGGATGGCCCCCTGGACTGTGCCTGAGATGTGGCCTCAGAGAGTGCCTGGAAAGGGGGCGAAAATAGGGCCTGGTGAGTGCCCAGCGGTCCCAGCTGCAGGAGCCCTGGGAGAAAGAAGTAGACCCCTCCCCACCTGGTCCCCAGCTCCCCCTCTGCTCCCCCACCCCCCATGTCTGGGTATTTTCGTTGGAAGGGAGGGACTTGACTCCAACAGATTTGACTTGGAGAGGAAGGACTCATATGCAAATGAGGAGCCGGGCTGCCCCAGGCTGCTTTATGGAGTGCCAACCACAATGTGGCCATGGCTCCCCATCCCCCAACACTTCCTTTCCTTCCTGATCCCAGTCTGTAGTCTCCTCTACTTCTTCCTGGGTGAGTCTCATCTTCCCAGACTGGGAGCTGTGAAAGAGTCAGGTGACCAACTCATCCCAGTTTGCCTGGAACATTCCAGGTTTGTTTTTTGTTTTTATTTTTATTTATTTTAAAAAAAATTTGTTTTTCAACGTTTATTTATTTTTTTTTTGGGACAGAGAGAGACAGAGCATGAACGGGGGAGGGGCAGAGAGAGAGGGAGACACAGAATGGGAAACAGGCTCCAGGCTCTGAGCCATCAGCCTGACGCGGGGCTCGAACTCACGGACCGCGAGACCATGACCTGGCTGAAGTCGGACGCTTAACCGACTGCGCCACCCAGGCGCCCCTATTTTTTAACGTTTATTCATTTTTGAGAGAGATAGATAGAGTGTGAGTGGGGGAGGGGGAGAGAGAGAGGGAGACACAGAATCTGAAGCAGGCTCCAGGCTCTGAGCTGTCAGCACAGAGCCTGATGCAGGGCTTGAACCCACGAATGGTGAGATCATAACCTGAGCCGAAGTCGGACGCCTAACCGACTGAGCCATCCAGGCGCCCCCATTCCAGGTTTTAAAACACATCCCGAACCCAGGAAAACCTGGATGACTCGTCACCCTAGGTTCAGGTCTCTCCCTTTCCATCTGCCTTGACTTCAGGAGACCACAGTCATGTGCACAGTCCTGTGGCCATAGGTCATGCTCTCCTGCAATCCTCCTAACAGGGAGGGCACCGTGGTTCCTGTTTCCCTCTCCGGCTTTGTCATTAGGCCAAGGAGCCGTCACAGCTGGATCCTGGCCCCTATTGGGACAGCAGACATCCCACCTGGGGAGAAAACAAGACACGCTGAGGACTTCTGCTCCAGTTACCTGGGATGTGAAGCTCATCTCGGGAGAAAAAACCCAAAACCCAGCTATCACCACCTGGCCGCTCAGGAGGGAGGGGCCAGGCCACTGCCCCTCCCACAGATCCCCCTAGGCTGTGCCCTGTTTGTGCCCACAGCTCTGTGCTGCAGTCCTGGGACTGGGAGGCGGAGTCCCGACTGAGCCACTTCTCTATGTGGGACATCACGTGTGCCACTTCCTCCCTGTGGGCCTCAACTTCCTCATCTGTGAACTGGGGATAGTAAGCCCAGAAGGCTGGGCCTCACAGGACCATTGTGAGGCACAGAGAGCTCTTTGTGAGCCGGACGAGGAGAGCCGGGCAGTATTGGCTTCTCTTTGGTCCTCCCGTGAGGGTGCAGAGTTTGGCGTGAGGGGTAGAGAGGTGGAGAGAATGCATTTTTCTCGGCTCAGAGGAGAACAATGGGCCCTCAGAGGCTGTTGCCTCGCTGTGACCCCTGCCCCAGAGCTCTCAGGGAATCACCCGGCTGGAAAGGCCTTGGCGAGCAGGGCTCCACCTCTGACTCTCCCTCTGAAAAGTTCCCCGTGGTGGCGGTGGTGGGAAGGATGGGGACACTTTGGCCACCATCAGCCAGGCCCTGGAATTTGAGTCAGGGTCTGGATGAGGAGATGCCCCTTCAGATAGTGGATCTGGGTCTACATGTGGTGCTCCATCAATAATAATAGTAATAGTAATAGTAATAGTAATAGTAATAGTAATAATAATAATAAATATCTATTGCTAAAAACCTGTGCTAAAGCCCCATTTAGCCCTAACAACGGTCATAAAATAGATAATGTTGTTTTCGTTCCCATTTTACAGATGGGGGGGACCAAGCCTCGCAAAGATTGCCAAGGTTACAAGCTAGTAAGTGGAGAAACCGGGATTCAACCACAGATGATCTGGTCTAGTGCCCTTGACCTTAACCACTGCACAGTACTACCTCTCTCGAGCTGCAGCGCATGAGTGTTCCCCCTGCCCCAGGATGTACTGACCCCATGTGTGCTTCCTGAGCTGGAGAAGCGGCCGCCCTTCCCTTTGACTTTCATAGAGCCACGCCACCATTCTCTGTAGGAGAAGAAAGGAGCAAGGCCCCTGGAGCTGTGAGCAAGAGCCCAGGGCACAAAACAGCTCAGTCTCTTGGCACCTTCCCAACAACGCTGCCTGCCCTGTGGGGGCTTTGCTGGGGGCCCGAGCTTTTCCTCCTTTCAGCCCCACTGAGGCTTCGGGGAGACAGAATGAGGATGCTAGCCTTGCAATTGGACGTGGGCCTACCAGGCAGTCTCTCCGAGGCCCCTTCACGACCTCAACCCAACGGGGTCCTGTCACTGAGCACAGACACTGTGGGGCCATCGTGGTGGCCCTAGGCTCTGTGGCTGTAGTCGGAACTCCTGGCCCCTCCCATCCCCCTTCAGTCTAGCCCTGGACAGAGTTCCTCTGTGGGAAGCAAGGTTTTGGGGTCACTGCCCTCAGCTGGCCATCTCAGTCAGAACAAGGGTCGGGGCTCCCTATTGGGGCCGAGCAGGCCCTTCCCTGGAGCCCCCAGCACACTCTGCTCCAGGCCACCCTTCCCTCGCAAAGGCTTTGGTCACCCCCCTCCCTCTTGTCACAGAGTAATCCCACCTGGATCCCAGCCCCCAGCCCAAGCAGCTTACCCTGCAGGCGCACCCCACACCTCGCTAGGTGCTCTCCTCTGCAGCCAGAGCAGAGTGGACAAGCTGTCCGTCCCTCCGGCAGAGAAGGGAGCCAAGCAGGAAGCCCTGGCACCCCATTCTGCGCACTGAGGCCTTGGCCAGTCTGATGGCAGCTCGCCCCCTTGGCAACGCAGGGGCCAGGTGGCAGCCAATGACTGTGAGGCTGGGGTCTGGGGTGGGTTATTGGTGCCCTCATTCACCTTCTCTCTCTTCTTCCCAGTGTTCTGCCCCTCCCCCCACATCTGACCTGTACTTATCCCCTCACTGGCCTCTAGGGTCCCCAAGTGCCCCATCCCCACCCTACTGCGGTCTGAGAAACTCTCTATATGTTCCCTTTAAATTTATTGAGACTTGCTTTATCCACTAACATATGGTCTATTTTGGTGGATATACTATGTGCATTTAAAAATTATTTATGTTGCACATTCAGGTACAGTATTCTAGATATATCAGTTAGGTCAACATGGCTGATTAATGCTGTTCAGTTCATCCATATCTTTACTGATTTTTTACTGAGTTTTTCTACCAGTTGCTAAGAGAGGAGCATTAAAACTTCCAACTATGATTGTGAGATGGTCTACTTCTCCCTTTAGCTCTGCTGAGTTTTGCTCTGTACATTTTGAAACTCTGTTGGATACATAAACATTTTATGATTGTGACGTCTTTCCGATGACTTGACTTTGCATCGTTACGAATGTCCTTCCTTATCGCTGCTAATGCGTTTTGTGTTGAAGTCTATTTCATCTGATATGCTATTTGCAGGTTCTGTATTTTACCATCCTATTACTTTCAATTTATGTCTTTATATTTAAAGTGCATCTCTTAGACGGGATATAGGTGAGTCTTGTTTTAATTCATTTTGGCAATCTCTGCCTTTAAGCTGTTTAGTCCATAGATATTTAATAAGTAATTGATATGGTTGGACTTAGGTCTACCATTTTTTAATTCTCCTTTTGATTTTTGTTCCTTTGTTTTCCCTTTCCTGTCTTCTTTTAACATATTCAAGTATTTTTTAAGAATTCTATTTTATCTATTAATAGCTCTACCTTTGTCTTATATTTCAGTAGTGTCTCTAGGTATTGCTATGTATCTACTTAACTTTTCACAAACTACCTGAGAGAGAATATCAAACAACTTCATATAAAATGTAGATTTGTAAACATATGTGTCCAATACCACTATCCCCTACTTTATTTGTTATGCTGTATTTGTTATATATGTTATAGTTTACATACTTTATACTTACATATTTTATACTTACATACTTTATACTTACATACCTTATAAGCCAGAAGGTAATGTTATAATTTTTGCTTTAAAGTGTCCTATCTTGGGGTGTCTCGGGTGGCCTAGTCGGTTAAGCATCCCACTTTTGATACTGGCTCAGGTCATGATCTCACACTTCGTGAGA